TATTTCTATTTAAAATAAATGCTGTTCTTTTTTACTTATTGTTCAGGTTTCAAAACAAATTGCATTACTGTTTCCAACATTGATAATAACTGGCATCAAATCAGCATATTATAATGATTTCTGAAGGATCATGTGACATTGAAGAGTAGAGTAATGGCTGATGAAAATTCAGCTTTGCGTTACTGAAATAAATTATTTTAAAGTATATTCAAATAGAAAACCACAATTTTAAATTGTTTTAATATTTTTCAATAGTAGTTTTTTCTGTATTTATGAAAAACATGAAAAATAATAATTTTTTATTAGATTAACTTTTAATTTTCTTGTTTTCTTTTTTTTTTCTTGCTTTTAAGTTACCACCCAAGAGTAGCAATTAAACTAGCTTAAAAAAAAAAAAAACAACAACAACAACAAAAAAACAAAAAACATTTGTTTAATTATACATGAATCCAAAGTCAAATAGTTATGCAGATCCTGACAACCTACCTGAGTGACAACTTGCCCCGGTGTCCTCAAAAATGTCTTTTGAATGTGTTAGTTAGGCGCTTCCTGATTGGCCCACCACGAGATTACCGCCTCTGATTACAGCTATGCTTTCCTCTTACAGCACGTGCCAATGCCGCGGATTCTGCTGAAAACATGATGCGCGAGAAGGTAAGAGAATTTTGTCAGAGACTAATGCAAAAATAACTACTCAAATTATAAATGTTACATACAAAAGAACTGCTTTGTCAGTAGATGATACTTAATGTATTCGGTATTCATAAAAAACACCGTAGAAAGTTACTTTTCAACCCACATAACGTTACCTGAAGTCGAAAAACTGTCATGTCGACAGAAAATACTGCTTCAACGATCCATAAATGATGAACTGCCGTACAGTTTATGGATATAGTTTTTGTATTAAAATGTAAATCATAGAATCATCAAGTGTTACTTGCATAATCGAGCCTAAATCACGTTACAATCTAACATGACTCTATTGCAGGTATTTCGGAACATATATTAACGTTATGATTTGTATTAACGCTGTTTTATTAGTGTGTTGACCTCCATCACCCCAAGCTGTGGCTGACGTGCTCAGTACTTGAACATTTACCAGGCCTCCATGGTTAGATTGGATCCATATGCCTTCGAGTCAAATGGAGAGGTAAGGCTTTGACTGAATAATAACCGATGCAGGGTTGCCAGGTCTGCATAATAAAGCCCGCCCTATTGCATCTCAAAATATAGTATCCAAATAACGTTCAAAACTTACCCTAACTTCTATCTAGCTCTTCAACCCGCGGACTAGAAAGGGCGGTTTAAGGGTTTTTACGACAGCTTGCATTCAGAAACTTGGCACCTAAGTTAGTTAGATAAACAACCCGCGGGAACTGTGTTGAGTAGCACGATTCCGCGGGAAAACCCAGAACTTGGCAATGATCCCAGCGATGGTCCATGCACTTGAATATTTTCACATGCAGAAGTGGTGATTTATGCAACGTAAAATATGTTTATGTATGTATAAGATCTAAAAAAAATCTAATGGTCTAAAATAAATGGCCAACAGAATTGTTAAAATGCTTCTAAAGGTGGTGTAAGCCCACATGCCATGTATGACCGATTGTTCTTATAAATAATTATATGTGGCATAAATATAATATGCATAAATATAAATGCTATTCAGAAACGCTAAGGGAAGTTTGGCATATTTTAATATGAATTCAACCTCAACAATCACATAAAAATGACACGCATGTGCTTTATAGTTTGCTGCCACATCACAAATTGTTAATCTATAATTTCTTTATATTTAAAACATTTTCAGACTTTTTTTCCCCCCAAAATGTTCATGTTTATTACTATTTCAAAATAAAGGTCTTAACACACTTTGAGTATGAAAATATTCTTGTTGCAAATTGATAGATTATGGCTCTTCTGTAATTTATTTTGAGGATAATTATGAAAGCTACAGATTGTAAGCTTTCAAATTAGATATAGTTTGTCAATTTTAGTTTATAAAAATGTAACGTTATATATTTATTGTACACTTATTATATTGATTTTTTTTACCACATAATAATGGGGACATATTGAATTGAGATCTCTTACCTTCATTTTGTACAGCGTACAAAACTCGTCCAGACAAGATGATCACAATAATATTATCAAACTCTGTAAATAACACTTCATCTCTGATTTCATTTTCAATACTATCAAAAACGGAGACGCAAGACGGCAAGTTGTATTTGAATGAAATGAGAGTGTGCGTGATACATGGATGTGCTGTTATAATGCGTTGCTATTGACGACGGTCATTATTAGGAAGGAAATGCCACAGAATAGAATCTTGCTTTAAAAAGAGCTGCTTGTTTTATTTGTTTGTAGATTTATTTAAAATAAAACTTAAAAAAATGTTTTCAGTGTTAGCATAAGTTGTTTTTGAACACTTTCATCTCATTTGAACAAAACCGTGACGATATTGATAACCACAGTAACTTGGGTCACTATAATCGTGATATGAAATTTTCATACCGTCCCATCCCTATCGTATCACTTTATTTAACGAGTTATCGCATAACATATTGTACTTTAATATCATGAAACAATAGGGGATTTTCATGCTTCCGGGTTTCATGGGCGGGATCCACTTCCGACGCAGTTCAACAATGCCTGAGACTAATGCCATTTATGTCACTACTCTGTTCCAGTTTGTAAATCTAACCAACAACGCCAACCCTACTTAAGTTTTCATGGATTCCCGACTGAATTGAGTATAAGGAAGAAATGGATTAAAACTTTAAAATAAAACAAGGTAGCACGTTTGTTTGCAGCCGGCACTTTAGTGAATCAGACTAATTTACCAGGGATGCTGTATAAATAAACTTAGTGTAGTCCTTCATCAGTTTGCCAGCGAGGTCGGTGATTCAACGGAAGTGGCAGTGCACAAAGATCACAGAATCCGGAAGTACTACGTATCAGCGTGATAATCCCCCATGGCGGGCCAATAAATGGAGGCAGTCAGACAGGCCTTTTGGTCATAACAATTATTAATATTATACAGTATGTATTATTGTGTCGTGACCACTTTAATGCCTATATATAACAAATTGGTTGTGTAGTTTTGTGGCAACACATTTTTATATACACCACACAATGAAAATGACTGTAATATGACAGTGGGCAATTGGATATAGCTCAGCATAGTTTGAAAACATGGGTTTAAAGTTTGTTGTTCATTTGTATGTAGTGACAGCTGAACTCTCCTGTCCACATTTAATATGCGCAGGGGCAGAGTACACACGTCTAGTGTTGGGTTGGAATCCACCTTAGTCGAGTACGAGTCTTTGACCAATAGAGTCCAACTAAAC